GCACGCACGGCGAACGAGACGTCTGGACGCGAGAAAGTCGACACCCACATCATGCTGCCGATGGCCTCCCTCACCGGCCACTCCCCTCCCTTCTCGTCATCTCGCTTCGGTCCTAGATCGACACCAGGAGAAGCAGGGATGGCGGAGGTCGATTATACATCAAAGCGTTTCACCACGCTTTCAATATACGCGGGTTGGGAGATTCTAAGTGTCCCATCCTCTACCATCTCTCTCAATGGCGCACCCGTCAAACCATTCGCATTCTCCCAGAATTTTTGGTGGGAAATTTCTTGTTGAGAGAAGCAAGCAACTCCTCGCAATCCTCGTCAGACCCAGCCACCAAAGTGTCATCCACGTAGATCACGATAATCATAACCACGACTTCGTCTACCATCTTGCGGAAAACACACGGGTCCGCCTTGCACTGCTCGAACCCGTTCTCCACTACCGTATCAGCAGCGTGGTACCCCCACTGCCTACCGCTCTGCTTCAGACCGTAAATCGCACGCTCAGCCATAACAACCTTATGCGATTTGTCCCCGCACCCGGCGGGGAGCCTCAGAAAAACCTCCTCGTCTAGTGTAGCGTGTGTGTACGCCTGCTTCTCATCCCAGTGATTGAGGTTCATGCCCTTCTCGTTTGCTACCGCAAGCATCGGTTTAATGGATACGGATGATGGGCAAGGGGAAGACGAATGGAAATACGTAATTGACGTTCGGGATTTGCGAAAACCCCCTAGCAACCAGACGCGCTTAGAACTTTTCTATCTTCCCTTCCTTGTTGGTCTTCCAACAAAAACACCACCTTGAGCTCACAGACCTGCGCCCCTCTGGCGCGCCGTCTACAAATGAAAACGTCCCCGTGCCCATGTGCCCTCCAAACTCTTCCCTCATGGCCTGTTCCCACCCCTCTCGGTAAACAGACTTGGCAACGCCGGCTACAGTCATGGGTGGGGCTTCTACATCACTCGGACGCTTGCCTATGGGGGATTCACTTAGCTCGTGGGACGCCAGAGCCGTCTCGAAGGCGTCTGGCGAGTTGAGCATGAGGTCCACCGTACCCAGCAGGAAA